GCAGTAGCATGTATCTTCGTAGGGGAGCTCTGGCCATAGTATCTGCTATCAGTGTTAGTGTTTCCTGCCCCTGGGTGACAGTAACACGTTTAGCTATAAAATGTTATGGCACTGTTAGCTGCAATTTCAATAAAACATAATACATGCCTTTAGGCTTGAAAGTTCTCTTGTATGCCAGTTCTTAAAAAATTGATAACTCAAATACTGGTGATGACAACTTCCTGGCTTTTGGCTGGGTTTTTTTGTTGTTTGTTTGTTTGTTTGTTTTTTACCAACCATCTGAATAAATGCATGCCCAATACATGTTAGTTAGTTGAGGTTTTTTGTCAGCTAGGAATAATAATCTTAAAACTAAATTGCAAGTGCTTGGCTGCAACTGGCAGAGTGAATTTAACTTGCTGGATTTGGGCCAAGTTGTGGATAATGATATTATTTATATTGATGGTTTTATATTCCCTCCCCTAACCCCACCTTCGGGATCAAACTATTTTTTCAAAAAAAGTAAATATTTAGTTAGGAAAAAAGTGATACTGTAAAATAAAAAAAAAATCAAGAACATATTTAAGAAGCAGTAAATTTTTTTCTGTTCCCCAGACTTTGCTAATTCAGGATTCATGACATGTATTGCACTTGAACCTTGGTTTATAACCTCATTTGTGGTAATGAATGTCAGTAAGAAAATAGAAGTATTCCTTACTGCACCATTTCATTTTATTCATTTTGCAATAAGATGAATTCTAGTGTCTTATTGAGCAGTGTGGCACAGGATGAACTGGTGAATGGCCATGTGAAATGCAATACTGAAGTACTTTAGGGTTGTTTTCTTTTTCCCCCCAGACATTTAAACTCTGAATTGTTGGATTCAGACTGAATTGAGCTCTTGAAAGGGGTTTTGTAATTTGGATTTTTGTTTTTCCTCTAGTAAAACAAGCGAAGAACATGTTTCCTTTGCTGTACTCTCTGAATATTTTTACTCTTGTTTTCTGCTGAGTCTTGAAAATTCAAGTAGTCAGAACAACTTCCTATGAATAAATACCCTGTTCTGAAATACATTTTGCTATCTAGAGTTTTAAAAAATTGCTTTAAAGATTTTTTTGGCTCTCAGTGTTATGCTCTAAAGAAATGGTATTGGAAGTGATTCTGTAAAAAGGTTATTGGCTTTCATGCCACAGTGGTTATTTAATTTTTTCTGCTTTAATTTTTTTTCCCCCCCCCCAAAGTCCCAGCTTTAAACTAATCCTTGGCCTCTGCAAGTAGAGCTGAGCTGGAATAGCCCCTTCCCTGTGGCAGGCAGTGCTCTGTACCTGGCAGTGGCTCTGTACCTGGCAGTGACCAAGAGTACTTCAGCTGTTAGTGAAGTCGTCTGCAGTTCTAAAGTCTTGTTTTGGTGCTCCATAGGGGACAGATTTGTCCATGAGCCTGGTCCTGCAGGTACTGTGTGACAAGGTTCTGAGCAACCTGGTCTGATTTGGCCCTGCTTTGTGCTGGGGTGGGAGAAGATGCTCTCTCCAGGCCAAAGACTTGGCTCAGGCAGAGAGGGAGTTTCCTTGTCCAGGGTGTGCAAGGGTTGACCTGCAGCAGTTATCTGAACTTCATCTGTCAGACTTCTCCTTTCCCTGTCTCATTAATGTGTGTAATCACAGATTTTTTCACAGATTAATTTTTACCTTAATGATGAGGAAAGATGCAGCAGGAAGATGCTGTTACTGACACAAGAGCTCCCTATGGCTGGACAGGAGCAGTCTGGTCTCCACAGCGTGGTGCTACCATGCTGTCCTTAGTGACTTCTCTTTTAACATTTGCCCTAGTAGTGTTGAAGCACCTTAGGTGCCCTGCTTTATAAAATCGCTGTTTAGCAGGAATCTCACACTACTTAAACAGGTTATGTCAATAATTAAGTAGTTTTTGCTTATATTTGATCCCCTGCTGTTTCCCTCTACTTTGCACGAACTTATCTTTCCTCTAAGCCCAAAGCAGTGTCCCTCAGCCTCCCTTCTTTTTCCCCCAAGGTAGTCTTTGACTTATGTGCTGAAGAAGTTTGTTCTTATTAGTTAATGTGACTCGGAATTCCCATTATTCATAGATGTAAGAGATTTTTATTTCTTTTTGTTTCTACCAAATGGTTGCCCTCAATTCCTCCTTTTGGTATTAAGTTTCTAAAATCAATTATGCACTGGGCTTTTATTTTTAGTTTTATTTTAATAGCTGTCTAGCTACACTGAATAGAGTGTAATTATGTAGACTGACATGTGCTATCAAACTCAAAAATCAGTTGTAGTTAAATCCACAGGACTGATGTTCTAGAGCTTTGTGGTATTTTGTGACAAACTGAATAGTCTTTTGTATCGTGTTGGTGCCTAAAATACATGGAAATTACCTAACCTAACTGACTATCACAATCAGATATTCATCTATGAAAAGATGTCTTCCTCAGAGGTAGAGTTTCCTGGAAGTTTGTCTGTGCTGTTACAGCTTTTTATCATGAAATCCTTGTATATGGAGAACTAGATCTGAAGCCTAGATGGTGCTGCAGCAGGGATTGTTTCAGTGGCAATGTCACAGGAAGCCCAGGAGCCACACTGGTTGGTGTGATAGCTTCCTGTCAGAGCAGAAAGCCATGCAGGGCAGCACTCTCTGACCTTCTATGCTTGTGTTCCTGATTTGGGGTTTTTGTTCTCTCTCTGGCATTCAGCAGGATGGAGCAAGCTGAGTTTAGGGAAGCTTAGTCAGGGGTGTGATGGTGTTGGCTTAGGCTGCCTGGCCACCCCCAGGGCATCTGGAGCTCTTGGAAAAAGTGGCCTCAGCTAATCTCTTTGATTCAAGGTGGCTTTGATTTTCCCCAGTGTTGTACAAACTTGCTGTCTCTGAGAAAAGCTGCTGAAAGGGCAGTACTGGTATATATATAGATAGCTCTTTCTTTGTCCATGCTTCTGTAAAAGATTTGCTTAACCTGTGAGGATGGAAGGAGACCATATGAAAATGGATCTCATCCCTGATCCCATCCTTCCTGAAAACAAGCTGAAAAATTTAGTCTGATGTTTTCTGGCTGTCGTGCACTCTGGATCTCTTTCCCCCCATGGCGTGGGGTGGCCCAGTTCTAGTTCCATTTCCATCTGAGGAACCATTTCCGACAGCTTAAGTGGATGGGGGGGGGAACTCCAGTGCCAGGGGTTTCTTCAGGTCCTGAGCCTGGAGGGGAGAGGTGCTCTCCTCTCCCCCCACCCACGTGGCTCCATGGCAGGCACAGAGACAGCACACCAGCGTGGAGAGGAGGCAAGAGAGAGTTTATTGTTGGGGGGGTTACATTTATAGGGTTAGAAGGACTCACAGAGTAACCAATTAGAAGTCTCAAGGGGCTTATAGGAACACCCAGTCACAGGAAGGGGTTAACAAGGTCCAATGAGAACACCTTAGGACATCTTCCCAGGGCATTCCTGCGTGGGATAACACTTGTCGTGGGGGGTCTTGGGAAGAAGAAAGCATGAGTTAGCAAAGAGACTACAAAAAGCCATTTTGAAACATGTTTAAACCACAGTTTTCTCATATACTGCAGATTTCCTGCCACAGTGCACCAGTGATGCCTGAGGCTTCAGAAGACTGACTCTCAATGGGCTCCCATCTGTTCACCATGGCATGTTCTTTTGTTCCTCCTCCAGCCTGAGCTGTGAATCTGTGAATTCCTTGGCATTTTGAGGGGAAAACAAAATAATCTTTATTTCTGTAGTATTTGGGCTGTACTTGTCCCGCTTACATAAGTACGACGGTGTTGTATACTGGGCAGAGGGAAGAAGCAGCTCTTCAGAGACTCCTATAGCTTGAGAGTTGTTAAAGACCTTCAGTTAATGACATTATTTTGGAAGTCAGTGTCCTGGTTGGCTGAATACTAGTATTATGATCCAACTTGGGTTTTTTTCTCAAAATTACTGTAAGTGAATATTTTAGTTTCTTTACAGTAGCTTTGAATATAAGTGACTTTGATATGAGGATACTCGTTCTAGTCTGCACTGCTCAGACAGATGCTCAGATGAATCACAGTCTTTGTTTGCAGTACTGTCTTTCCATCTCTTGGTTGCCCCAAGTAATATTTGAATACTTGAGTGTTGTAGGATCTACATGTTTTTCCATTTTTTACCTTTGCTTATAGAAATTACCTCATCAGAAGTATAGAAGTGTCAAAAGCTCAGGGTTCATAATACTGGAAGATAGTGGGGCAATGCTTTTTTCTGTTTGAAAACGGGTGTTCTTATGCTTGATATCTACATTAAAAGAAAAAATAAACCCAAAACAACAGAAGCCTAAAATAGTAGCTAGATTTCTTTCCCTTGCCCCTGTTGAATGAGTTCTCCAAGTACGAGTATCCTGCTGCATTCTGCACAGCATCTCTAATAAAGCACATTAGTGTCCCATTGAGTACTCTGTCTGGTTCAGGACTGATGTCTTGGTCCTTGCAAGCTCTTCATGATTTGAGTCCAGGATACCTGAAATATGCACCAAATGACCAAACTTGATCTGCTGTTACCAAAATCAGTGGTCTCTATTTTTCTTTTATTCTTATACTAGCGATTAAAAGATGCCTTCTGTGAGAACATAAATGGTAGGATTTTTTTGCAGACTGTGTCTGGGGGAAAGAATGTTGTCTGCTGCATGTTTAGAGGACCTGTAAAAAAATTAAAACTTGATGTCTTGATTTTTCTAATTTTAGTGTGTTTTCTAATTTTCAGTAATAAAGATGGCTGTTGGGCTGTTTTTGAAGTATGCTGTTACTTTGCATAATCACTTATACTAGTTTAAGCTAGTAATATTATAGTAAGACTTTTTGGCTTTTAATAACATGTTATCTTTTGTAAAAATAATAAAAATGTAGGTGTGAAGCATTTTTCTTCCCATTTGAAAGCTGTTAAATAACTGCTTTTTTACTGGCTAGTAATTTGGTAGAAACTTTATAATAACCAAATTTGTGATGAACAAGCTAACTTTCTCATTTATTTTGACTTCTCTAGAGAAGTTGGAGGTTGCACCACCATCTCCAGGACAACTGAGACATGGTAAAAGAAGAATGTTTGTTGAATGTGGTTCAGTAATTGTGCAGTCTCTCTTTGAATTGGCTTCATCTTTTTCTACAAGTGCTGGTCTGTCCTCATCCCTGTCTAGTGGAGTAACAGAAAACCAAAACAAGCACCAACATTCACCCTGCTGCCTTTGTTTTGTAACCCCTCGGCTGGAGAATGTGCACCATTTAGTGAAAGTGGGACAGAAAGCCCAAATGAGAGCAGGCTGCTCAAAACCAGCAGCGAACATTGTTTTTCTAAGCCAAACAGTGTTGATGCTGCAGTACTTTGTGGGGTTTTTGTTTTAAAAGGACTGAGAAGTGGTATAAAATTGCAGAGAAATTGGAAATACACTGTGTATTCTTTATAATACTGTAATGATTCAAATTCTGATTTAGTTTCCAAATTAGTTTATTTTTGTGGCTTTATACTCTCTAGTGACCAAATTTATTTAGTCAAACATTTTCCTATTCTAAGTATCTACACTTATTTTTCTTTTTTTTCCGCTTGGTCCCTGGAATTCTGTTTACTCCATGAGTTCCAAAATTCTGCCCATTTCACTAAGAACTTGAGCTCCTTTTGTAGCTTCAGAGTTTTGTATACACACGTTTTGAAAATATTGGGCATATCTGTGTGCTTTTTTATTGTTTATGTTTTTGGGGTTTTTGTCTTGTGGTGATTTAAAACAAAAAATTGGAAAGTTTCATATGTTTTGTGCTTTAGTCCTTTACCTGTGCAGTTAAGAAGGTATGTGTCTCCTTAGAAAGTAGTTACAGATGTCCATTCATGTTCTTGTACCTAAGAAAGATCTTGAGTGTGGCTTTGTTTTTTTTTGTGTGGTCATGGATTCATGCTGTCTGTGAGAGAGAAACCTAAAAGGTGCTCTTGCCATTTCTTTTCACAACTGAGGTTCATGCACTCTTCTTTCTTCCCTCTTCCTATGTTTGCATCTCTTTAAGTTTATAAAATGTAGGAATTATAGTACCATCTGAAGTAGAAAAAAACCCACCAACCAAATCCAAACTGAACAGCTGATGCATTTTGAATGTTAAAAAAAAAAAAAGAAAATTTCTAACTTTCTAAGCTGTATTTTTGTCACATAGTCTGTCCTCAGTGCTGTAGTTAGTCTTATGAAGTGAGCACTTGAAACTCAGCTGGAGGCGATGCTGTGCAAATTCAGTCCCACCTCCATCAGCTTAGACTCTAAAACCTGAGAGAAAATGAAGCAGGACAAAAAGGAATGATACAGTAGCACTGTTCTCATTCTTAGAAATTATTCAGACCAATGTGTTCCAAGTTTCTGCAATAGAAAATATTTTCAAAAGTATTTAACAGGGGTTTCAGAAGTGAAAAGAAAAAAATGGATGAAAGTTGAATGCATAAAGTTGAAATTTGATTTCCTAGAAAGTGTATTAAGGAGCAGCTTCAAGTCTGACTTGTTCTGAGGATGGTATACAAACAAAGTCAAGATACAGAAGTTTTGGTTGAAATAGTGGGGTAAATAATACTGTATGACACTCTAGTGAGAGCCACCTTAGCATTTGCAGATTTAGCTGAAGGAGTTTTGATAAGAATTGTCCAGCTCCGAGGCAATGCTCTTAAAGTACAAATTTTTAGGAATACGTGAAGATGGAACTCTTGCACAGGAGTAGCGAGGGACTTGCAGAGAAAGGGCCTTTATTTCGTGCAAGAGAAGAATGCAGGGAGTCTGGTGAAACAGTTGGCCATCTTCAGTGATACTGCAACACCCACTGGAAGGTCTGTAAATCTTACCCAAGTTTGTGTAGCTTTAAATATTTCTCTTACACACGAGTAGGCATGAGTGGCTTCCATCCGAAATTGTACAAGTGTTTGCAGAATAAGTTTTTTTAACTGGTTCTTCACAAGCTGTTAGTAACACTTCTGTGTAGCAGAGGGTTTTACTGCACCTGCCAGTAACAAAAAGGTCCTCAGTAGAATGAGTAGGAAAGGAATTTTGTGTATGTTGTCTTTTTTTCTCTTAAAGGCAGTATTAGACTGACATTTCGGTTGTTCCTGTGAATTGGTGAACTCTCTTATAAATATTTTATTTTCTCTTTGTTACTTATTTCTTTTAGTGTTCTTCCACAATGCATTACCTTTTGTAGGGTTTGGATTTTTGGATAACGCAATTATGATTGCTGCGGTAAGTTCATTATTTAATTCCTTGATCAAGTCAATAAGATTCATATTGTTCAAGAGAGTAGAATAGACTAGACTATGAGGTCTAGTTTAGAAAGTCCTCTTGCTCAGGACTTTCTCAGGGCCTGTAGTCTAACCTCCTGCTCAAAGCAGAATCAACTGTAAGGTCAGACCAAGTTGTTCATGTTATTATGGGACTTGTGAAATCCAGGGGCAGCCTGTCTGAGCAACCTGTTCCAGTGCTCAGCTTCTTCACAGTGGAAAATGTTTTGCTATATCCAGCTGGAACATGTCTTGTTTTAATTCATGCACGTTGTCTCTCATCTTTGGACCACGTACTGCTGTTTCATAGTGCAGTTCACTGTGATTTTGTTTCTTCATTTGAACATGTAAGGAGCTGTGGTACTGTGTTTTATTTGTTTGCTCAGTATTTGTAGAAGTTTTCATTCAGAGCTATACATTCAGCTAAGAATTACAGTGAGGAAGAATGGTATGCAGAGATAGGGATTGAAGGTTTGTCCATTAAGTGCCTCTTACGAACTAGTATAAAATACTAAAAGAGTATCAGAAGTAGGCTCTTTTCCCAAGGGGAAATTATATATACCAGGAGGATAGGATTTGTTCAGATCTAGTAGAAGTAATGTCCATTTATCCCTTCAGTTTTAACATAGACGAGCACTAAGCAATACTTCTGTCAGTTGTATCAATATAATTTAACTCCAAATCCCTCAAATAATGACAAAACTGTTTATTTTTCAGGGAACCCAAATAGAATTGTCAATTGGAGTTGTCTTAGGAATTTCAACTATGGCAGGCAAGTATTAAAAATGCAGCATGTTTAGACTAATATGACACATTCCTATATTTTAGGCTGAAAGTGCCACACAGGGCTGGAAATGGCTCTTCCTCAGTCTTGCAGCTGCCTTTCCTAATAAAGAAGCAACCTGTGGGTGAAACAAGGACATACTCCATTTGCAGAAATGGAATTTTAGTTCAAATAGCTTTTGAAATGCTTCTTGTCAGTTTTTATCTAATAGTTCAAATCCTGTGTCACTTGGGAAAGCATATTTGCATTTCTGTAATGGAACTGCTTTTAAGTTTCCTGGGGTCCCATATTGATGTGTGTCTATATATGTATTTGTATGTTGCTGTTTGCTTGCAGTGCTAAGTGGAGATCAGTGTTGGTGTCCTTTTACTGTGTTGGCTGCTGTTCTTGGTGGCTCTTCTGCCTCCATGAGATAAGGGAAGGCCAAGGAGCAACCCTGCTCCTGCACTGGGCCAAAACTGATAAGCTCTGCTTGACAGCTTTGGTGCCTCTGCAGTGTCAGAGGGTAAAAACCTGCTTGTGGGTCCACTAACTGCAGGGGCAGCATTGCTTGAAAGCACATAGAGAGCTCAAGTGAAAGTGTCTATAACAGAGTGAGTTAATGGTTTGGAAATGTGCAGTCCTCTGTTGCAGTGTGAGACAGTCACAGTCAAGCTTATCTCAGTGAGATCTGCTGTGAAATCATGTATTTTGTGTACAACTTTGTTCACTCATGGACAGTATTCATTGCCAAACTGACAGAGTTTGTGGATTTGTTGAAATGTTTATCAAAGCTACATACCTGAGTAACAGCTCCTTCTACTTCCACTGCTCCTGTGCCTCTTCAGGCACTGGAAGGCTTTGCTTGGTGTCCAGCAGTAGCTGCATGGAACTGGCAGCCACACACGGCTGTTCTTAACTCTGATCTGAAAAGTTGTTATATTGATTTCCAGGTATGAGTGTTGTTTTTTTATTTTTGTCAAGTTTTCTTCATATAAGTCAAGAAAAATGGTTGCACTTCCTATTATTTTAGTCTCCTGCTGTTATTAAACTGTAATAAGGTCAGAATAAAAACTCTAAAATAAGAGGACCCTAGTTCTAGTCTCTCATCCTGTATAAACTGAGAATAGTGAGAGTCACTAGGAGAGGAGGGAGAGGAGTTGCTTGGTTTTGTTCACAACTAAAGTAATCCTTTGCCTTTTTTTCTTCCCTCTTCCTCCCTCCAGCTGCAGCTTTAGGAAACCTTGTTTCAGATTTAGCTGGACTGGGGTATGTATGCGCTTGTATTAAGAATATTAAGTGCGTTTACTGAGATGCAATGTGAAAAATATATTTTTTGGTGATATAATATTGCTGTACTTAATATATGTCCTCAGATTGTTATGGCCAGATATGAAGACATTTCCTTCTCCTCAGATAAAACAGTTATATATCTGAAATGTCTTTAGATGTAGACATACCTGTTTCTGATATAAACAGATACAGTGACTTTTTTTATTTTTAAAGGAAATTTCTGTGTAATTGCTGAAAGTAAAGCTGTTTGTTATGCCTGTTTTTCACACTTTCCCTCTAATGCTTTGTTTTCTGCAAATAACAAGGCTTATTACCAACTAGCCTGTGTGTGACCTTTCCTCCACTAAAGGTTACTTACAAACTCTACAAAAGTGCAGTAACAATCACACTAGTTTTGTTGCACTGCATAAAGTTTTTATGGAAATGTTTCATATTAAATCAGCGAGATAATTAACTTATGTTGCAAAATGTGACCTTTAGAAGTCTAAACTCTTTCCCATATTAATCTGTCAATGTCTTTATCAGTATGCTGAAGGAAAATCTATAGATTTTAAGTTCAAATATTTCAAAATCCTCACTAGAAGACACTATCTGGTTCACAATTGTTTTTTCTTGTTTTCTTGTTCTTCCAGTCTTGCAGGTTACGTAGAAGCCTTAGCTTCACGACTGGGTCTGTCAATCCCTGACCTGACACCCAAACAAGCTGACATGTGGCAAACGCGTCTCAGTGCACACTTGGTGAGTATCCTGTAGGTAGGCACTGCTGGTATGGAGCTTTTTCTGCTTAAACTAGGAAGTGATAAATCCTTTTTGTCACTTTCTCCGTTAAGTCATTGACCGCCAGCATTGTGCTTACATTTCCTGTAAGGCTGAGTTGTGAGCCCATATCAGGGAGCATCATGAGACTGGATTGTTTTGGGCTTCAGTGTTTTTTTTAATGCAGTGAGCCACAGATGTGGAAAATCTCTGCAATGACTTCATGGATGCTGTGCAGATACCGAGTTTAGCTCTGGTTATAGTGATAAGATAATTGAAAGTTATGACCTCTTAGTAGTTTACTCCTACACATTTTTTGTCAAGCGCTTGCTATTCATATACCTGCACTGGTATGTATTAATTTCTAGTATTCTATAATTAGCTTGGATATAAAATTAGCTTTCCCCTGCGTAAGATTTTAGCATTTCAGTAATATTTACTGCCTGTGTTTACAGTTGCAGGACACTCATTGGGCAGATGCATTTTCAGGGTGGTTGCTTAATTAACATTTAAACATTTGAAGTGGTCAGATGTTTTGGCAATGAAAGCCATAGTTTATTTTGATTAAAGAAACAGATTATCAGAAACCGAGTAAAAAGAACAGATATTTCTTTCACTTTGCCAAAATGAACCTTCATTGGGAAAATATTCATGCAGATTTAAGGGAAGAAAAAAAGCACTTGCTGAGAAAAAGTTAGGGGGAAAAAAAGTCAGGTTTTAGCAGTGATAGATCAAAGCAGCAAAGGGTTGTCATATTGTCAAGGGGCTGCCTGACAGTGTCCCCAGTGTAGGAGTCTTCTCAGTGGAAGCTGAGCTTGTGGCAAACCCCTGTCATTGCACTGCAGTTCATTCACAGCACTTTTCTGTGAAAACTCTTCTGAGCACCTTTGCCTGTATGGTAGCATTTTTTTTCATTTTTTACCTGCTGTCTCAATTTTCTAAACATTATCCACCTGCTGCTGGTGATGTGATTTGGATGTCGCTTCTCTTATGTTATTTCCTCTCCTCTTGACTTATACATCCAGGTCAACTGTGAAATGTTTTCCATTTTTTATATTTTTGTCTTTGCCTTGTGCCTTTGCAAACCATGATGTTGGCAAGGCACTCCTTATTCCTGACTTTGATAATTTGCATTACCAGATACAAGCAGATACATTTACAATTGCACCTAAAATGAGTGCAGGTGTTGTTTGGTTTTTTTGGTTTAGTTTTTTTTCTTTCCCTGTCTTCCTGGCCATCCTACTAATCCTTTGAATCTCAGTCTCCTCTCTTATGACTTGTGCAGCTCTTCATGAGCATTCCCCTCCTCTTTCTTCAGAATTGTTTTTATCAGAGCAAACACTGTTTGTAACATTGTCATAACTGTCTTTCTCTCATGGACTGTATTTCCAGTCTGCATGCTAAGATAAATGTGACTCGCAACTGAAAACTAGAACAAGGGATATGTTTTTCTGGTTGTGTTGGTACACGGCAAATGAGTAGCAACTGATCAGTGAGAAACTTAATTTTTTCCCCTTTCTCTAGGGCAAAGCTATTGGAGTGACCATTGGCTGCATATTAGGAATGTTTCCTTTGTTGTTCTTTGGCGAGGAGGAAGAAAAACTGGAAGAAAAATAATAACCTTTTTACAAGACATATACAAATGTAAACTACTGTACCTCAATTATTCAATTATGCTGTCAATATTTAGGAATTAACAGACAGTAAAAAATGTATAGACTTGGGAACAAAACCTTCAGCATGTCGTTTTATGGAAACACTAATTTATTGTGGCTTTGTTGTGTTCAGTACTTCTTTTTATATCATCTAACTTTTTATTTAATTGTAAATTTTTGAAGTGTTTTCACTTATGGCAAGATGTTTACCACTTTCCCCTTAGATCTTATTCTTTAATGGATTATTACTTCAGTAATCCACCATGGATGACAGTATCACTCTTGAGTTGCATATTGGTTGCTTAACAGTTGTAATTGCATGACAGAAATATCACTGTTGTTCATCAGGTCCTTCAATGCAGATTATTATGGAGGTCATTGATGAGTAATTTGAAGTCCCTCACTTTGCAAGATGACTGGTTGCCCCTGACTTGCCATCATTTTGCACTGCCTTTAGATGAGTTATTTCAGTGATCTTTGACAGTATAGATTGCATTTTTTTCCCAATTCTGACTAAGTGTCTCTGAATTGTCTTCTGAGATGATCATGTTGATGCTTTGACAAGGTAAGTGTCTCCAGTATAGGGTCTCTACCAAGTCCATTTAAAAAGTGGCATTTTAACACCTTCTGTACTTCCATATTCATGCCTCCTTTTTTTCCTTTGTAAACAGTATTTTGAGAATTGAGTTGAGATATCCTTAAATTTGTATTCTTGTGTTTTGAGTGTGGTATTAAAGAATTCAGACCAACTGTTTCAAAATCACAAACAACTTTTTTAATTGTTCTGCTTAAAATAAGGTGTGAATAGTTGATTGGGTAGATGAGGCCAGGGAACAGTTCAAGGTATGAATAAGTGCTGGCATTGCAAGTTTATAAGGAGTGGTTCAGTTGAAATGATAAGTGTACCATCAGTCTGGATTAGAGGACCTGATTTGCTGATGATAACTTTGTATTTAAGATTAAGCCTTTGCTACTTTTTTTTTTGCTGTGAGACAATTAGTAAAAAGAAACCAAACAAAAAAAGGACACTTGAGGCCTTTTTACTTTTTTGCCTTTTATTTTTGCAGTCTTACTTGGTGTGTTATAGATCTGACAGTGCAGTCTCATGTAACTGTGCTTTCTTATAGGGACATGGATAAAATTATGACAGCTCTCGAATATTTATAATATTTCAGGATCTGATTTGCCAATAGCATAATGCTAAACTGATAATTGTCCCTTAGAGGAGAAGATTTCTTATCTGTCTGAATACCATTTGGAAAAGACACTAAAAAGAGGCACAGCCAGGACATTTTGAAAGTTTTATTGCTGGAATTGTTAGCACTTATGAAACCTACAAAGAAATGTTTAAGAAAAAATTAAGTCCCCTGATGACTTTTATATGCTGTAGGAAAAGTCTTATTGTAGCATGTATGTTTTACATAAGCTCATTATCATAAATCTGACTTCTCTGTTCTCATTTCTAGAAGCCCCTTAACAGCAGTACTGAAACTTTGACTTATAGTCACTTATAGTCACTCTTGTCTCTGTTTCTTGAGAAGCAGACTTTGAAAAGTGGGAGTGAGTTGTCCTAGTAGCATGTGCTGTACTTTATACATTACACCATGACAATCTGGACCAAACTATAAAGCTGAACAAAAGCTCAGCCAGACATCAAACACAAATGCAGAGGAGTTTTGGCTTACTTTCAAAGTTGGAAGCTTTATTAAAATAAAGTAAAATAAAACAACAAAAAAACAACCACAAAAAAACCCTCTAACCACAAAAACCAATCCAGATAGGCAATTATACACTCTTACCCCAACAGATTTATAGTAGTTAAATGATGAGAGTTGGTTTTTTTTTTTTAACTCATCCACACATTTGTCTTGCCTTAAACATGCTTCTGCATGTACTTTTGTTTCTATATAAAGCTCTATGTATTTCCCACACGCATTTTTCTTAAATTGAAGTACAAATCAAAGAAATTTTGCATAGCTTTTTCTGTAGCTGTTTTTACAGTAATTCCAACACTGTTTCTTGTTATGATACTGGCATCTTGATTGGAATCTTTCAGCAGTGGCCAAACCTCTGTTCTTTTGCATTGTACCATTGGAACACTGTTTTCATCACTTTTTTAGAGCTCATAAGAGCAACTGGAAGGCTGTGCCAACTCTCACAGTAGTGTTTGTTTCATAATGCAACAGACTGTATTATTGTTAAATAGCTTGTGCATGTAAATTGAGTATCTTTTGTTACTGTATGTCAAACTGTTGTACTGCAACCAATGCTTTTATTGAGAATCAATGAACTAAAATATCTTGAAAGAAGTTAATCATGTGTTGTCTTGTTAAACTATTTAACTGACCACAAAAATGTGGAGTGCAAGTGACACATGGTAAGAAATCTTCGGTATTTCAGGCTATTGTCAGGTATCATAATCAAGGAGGTGACTTCAGGTGTTTCAGGTTTTGACAAAGGTGAAGAAATAACTTGTGATTTGGGAGGATTAGTGGTGCTGCTGGAGGCTGAGATAAGGTGTGTTTGGGGGCCAAGCTGCCCCTCTGAGTACCATGGGGTAGCTTGCTTTGCCAGCAGGATCCACGCTTGTGTGGACATGGTACTGCTTCTGTGGAAGGGAAGATCTGTGCCTGATCTGTACCCTGTCTCCCCACAAGGAGGGTGGGTTTTTCTGGGGTGTATGGATGAATGTAATCCCTGATCACAGTTTTTAAAAACTTAACAGAGAAGACCGAGTCCCCTTTGTTTTCTAGTGTCTTCTCCCTCCTTGGTAAAAGGAAAAAATGAACACTGCAGGTTTTTTCAGAGAATTCAGCATTGCTCCATTTGTTTTTATTCTGTTGGTTTGTCCTCTGTTAACAGGAATTCTTTTTTTCCTTAAAGGGCTGGTAGACCTGAAATTGTGTTTAAAATGCTGTCTTTTATTGTAACTTAAAATATAAATGTATTTTTGACTGTATATTATCTCCAGGAACAAAGAACATCTGATAATACAGTTACCCAAATCTTCTCGCCAATATTTTCTCATGCATGTACTTTTACATAAATTATTTGAATTCAGACAACATACTTTGTATTGTCTTTAATTAAATTGTTGAACTTTCTGTAAACTTTTGTACTACAGCAAAGCTGTTCTGTGTTTCTTTATTAGACCAGATGCTGGAGGGGAAATGTTAATAATATCCTGTGGGTATTCAGCCTCAGTTATACAAAACAGGAATTTATTATTTAAGTTATAAGAAGGTGGTCCTTTGTCACTGTCACAGGAGATACTACCATGGAGTGGTACTTCTGTCTCTTCATGCTTGGAAGAGAGAGATTTAAATAATTAAAATGTTTGCATGGTAAATTGATGGTGTTTGTGATTAATATTAGAAGTCCACTTGCACTTGAACTTCTGGAATTAACAGGTTTTTTTGTATGCAAACTAAGCTATTTTGAACTTTCCTGGACTTTGGAGCTCCTCACATTTTTTTTCACTCCCTGGTCAGTCCCTTTTGTGGATGTCTGCACATGAAGAAGTGCTGTGAGGAAACATCTGTACTGGAAGGATGGTCTTATCTCATTTTGACAACCTGTATAGGTTAGCTATTATTTTACTCTATTCTGGTTGCATTGTGCTGTAGAACTCTTCGTAAATGCTGTTCAGAGAGTCTGCCACACTTCTACCCAACATGTTTCCCTCTTCTCTGTCTGACCTTTTACATGGTCTAGTGACAAACTGATAGAGCATCACTATATAAAATAAAGAGCTTAATAAATTTGAGAAATTATCGTCTTGCTCTGAGAATTTTTCAACCTAAAATATTAAGAAAAAATAGCTAGAGCTCTCATAACACGAATCCAAGCTCTTATTTTAATCTTTAATTAATGTTTGTTAAGGCTTTTACCCCTGTCTCAGTGTTCAGGACCCTTGTCATCCATAGTGGTGCTTCCAAATAGTATTGTGGGGGGTGGGAGTGTGGGGATGCGGGTGGAGGGGTTTGCGCAAACTTGGAATTTAAAAGCCAGGCAGAAGGACTTTTTGTTTTATTTTGGAAGACAGGTGTATATGTGTGTGTGTTGGAGTGCTGATGTAGTACCTCTCTGTAAGTAGATGATGCCAAGATAAAACACTTTGCAGACAGGAAACAGCTCTGGTTTAACAGTCTTCACCTTAGTAGCTCACTGGTATGTGAGCAACTGGCTTAAAGAACACTGCAGCTCTGAATGCTGCTCCACAGCCTCATGAGTTGCTGTGAAATACCTAAATTATTTGAGACGTTAAACTTAATGCATTTTGTACCTCTTTTGTGTTCTGTTCTTGATACTGTGCTTCTCAGAGTGTCTTGCTTGTCTATTGTTTTGAAAAGGACCTTATGCTTTTACCTGGAGGGTTTAAGCTCTTTAAAACATGAGCGTATTGATTTATCTATCAGAAAATAGATCATCTTGTTGTGGAATATGAAGTGTACTGGATGGGACCATTCACTGCTTAGAAAATATGGATCCAAAGGGTGTAAGATTTGCCATACTAGACCTAAAGCTGCCATTCCTATTGGGCAGAGGTTGCCACTGAGCCGGTTAGGGCGATAACATGGAGTACCAACTTGTCTTTGCACAGCAATACTGCTTGGATTTGGCAGGGTGGTCTGTTCATAGCATGGTGATCCTATCTAGTTTTGCTGGAAATGGCTTGTTACTTCCAGGTAGGAACAAAGAGGAAATGGAGGAGAATGAGATTCTTCTAGGTCATTTTCCCTACATGGAGATGCATAGATGGTCTATTAAAAGAGAAAAAACCTATGATTTGTATTTATGGTACTTTCCTGTTGTTCCCTATGCCCTGTCAGTGCTTTTAGCCTGCAGAAAGATTGGAAGAAAGAACTCATAAGGCTTCCCCCCCACCCCCGAGTGGCTTTTCTGCACAGCTCAGCTATTGAATCATAGGAATAGCCATCAAAGGAAAAATTACAGTAAAATACGCCCTTTTGAACACAGACATCCTTGAATAGGAAGAGCAGAATGATTGCAGGTGATTTACCTCTGATATACAACTGCCAAGTTACCAGAGACCACATCAAAAACCAATTGGATATTGAACGGACTGCAGCCCCTTTTGGTGAAGTTTCAGATAGGCTGTAATGCAGATCTGCAAGTGACTTTTTCTCTGCATGGTTTCCTCTGTTAGTTGCTTGCCTCATTTTGTGTAGGAACATTGAAGGGTTACTTTTATACACTTTTTATTAAGGGTTACTTGTTATACACTTTGCTGTCTGAGAGCCTGAAATCTTCTTAAAGGATGGCAGGTCAAGGGAAGAGTCAGCAACCAGAGCCACTGTAGGAAAACATCCCAAGAAGAGCCTATGCTGTGAGAGGCAGTCTCATCTTCATTTGTAGTCCTCAGTTGCCTTGTAAAGGCAGGCAGACAGTGGGATAGATCCCCTTGGAAAAGAAGTTATTTTGCTGGATTGTGTTAGTTTATGGCAAGGGTTATTGTGCTGACATGCTGAGGAACAGGGCAGTCCCCCATGCAGATATTAAAAAAAGAAGAGATTCCTCCTGACCTGCATTGGAACCTTTAACATCTTGTAGGATAGTCATCTCCTTGTCTCTGGCTGTATGTTTTGGCAAACTGTAAGGTCCTGGAAAAGCCAAAAGGCGTGTTGTGTTTTTATGGGTCACCCAGATGATGTGTGAGGGGTTTGGGTACTTGTGAACTCAGTCACTTGTGGATAATCCTGCAGGCTTCAAGGCTCAGTTTTCATATGTTTGGGGAATTCCTGAAATGGGATTTATCTGCCTAAGTGTAGGATTTCCATCTTGCAACTGGGCCATTTCATCTGTGTTACAGACCTTGTGATCCCTTTGTGTATGGTAGAACCAACCCTGTAGAGTGTATTTTGTCTGGTGTAGGTGTTGCAGTTCAGGGTGGAATTGCTCACATGCTGCAGGCAGGAGGTTATTGGCTTACAGCCTCTCCACCAAACATGCAGTGTTAATGTTAATTCTTACTGTCTTCTGATATTCTCGAAGCCATGGTCAGTATTTGGGGTGGATTGGAGTTTCAGCCATGCCTTTTGCCTGGAGTTTGCACAGGTTTTGATTGAGCTGGCCTGTGCCATGTTGCTTTTGGTCAATAGAATTATTAATTGTGCAAGTCTGTACATGAAATGGAAGAGTTTTTTTATTTCTTCGTGAAATAACTAGTTCATTGGATGGAAACTGCTTACTGTTGTAAAGCAAACCGACTTTTAACTGCGAGTGGAGCAGCTTGGTAGCAAAGAGGAGTGACAGGGAAACAAATGACTTCTTTAGAAACTCTCCAGCAGGGAAGAGCTGCTCCTTTCTGCATGGCTGTTCTCTCTGATATTCCGTGTCGGCAGCAAATTACAGTTATTTTTTGTTGTGTTGGTTTTTATTTCAGCTGCCGTGACAAATGATTCCAATGTTGCGTGTCACGCAGCAGCAGGGATCTCTGTTGTAAATTACTTTGCTTAAAAAATGCAACCTGCTAAAAGAAACAAATTGTCCAACAAAGAGGAACTTAAAGCATACTTACAATTAACCTACTGCTAAAATCTGTCAGCTTGGTGTTGCTGAAGGTTAGTGTAACACGAGGTAGGCCAATGGTGTAATATAGCAAAAAGTGTTATTGATGAATCATTAAGAGAATTGTGTCCTACCAAAAAAAAATCACTGTTTTCATTAGTACTCTGCACAGCTGCTCCCTTTGAGTGCTGGGTTTTCTTATGTCTCCTTGAGTCGCATGTGGTTCTGATGCCAATGTGAGGGGCACATAATGAAACATTGAAAAATATAATTACAAAAGAAGAGAACACAGAAAGGAAATAAACCTTCCCTTCAAAGAAATACAAACAAATTATTAATTTCATTAAAATACCTGAATAAAAGACAATAGCAGTATTTCAGTCTAAACTAGTACTTTCTTTCTGGCAGTCCCACTGATAGTTGCAAAAGTAAAAGGTTTCTAAATACCAGATGATGAAAACTGCTTTGGGGCAGGTCCAGTATTGACTTGACTCTGATTTAAACTGAGTCCTAGTAAACAGAAATTATGGATTTTGCATGGTTTATTTCTTAATCCTATTTTCCCATTTAGTAAATTAGGGAACTTCTTATATGTGCAAGCAGCCTGTGAAAGTGCAAGAGTTGCTGTTTCTGGTTTGTGTTTTATTGTAAATGATTTTTGAGAATAATAGAGTGTAGGGTTTTTTCCTATATGATAACATAATACTCAACATATTTTGAAACTATTATTATATGGATCCTAGTTGTATAAATGCTGTTAAGGTGGTGTCACACATAAACATTTTCTTTGCTCACTGAATCAAGAATGGGATTGTTGCTAGGACTGTTGTTAGGATCACTTTCTTTTCCCCACTAATGACAGTCTATGTTTCATTTTGAGTAGGTGATGGCAATTACTAGTGCACTTTATGATTTGACTTTTTACTTTAAAAGACCTCTTCAGCCACGACAGAAAATACAATGGTAGCAACTTGTTCACTGTGTGGTTTCATAAATTCTATTTCCTTCTTGCTCGCTGAACTAAACATGCAGCCTTCCGTTCGTTTTCTTGGGGCATTGATCTTCTATATGTCCTGGTGAGGTGCAAATCAAGTTAAAAATGTTCTGATGAAAGCCCTTTAAATATAAGTCTCTTGGATACACTGTGACTCACACTCGTGATGTGGTCTACTCGAGTCATGAATCCCTGTTTCAGTTCCTGTAGTTTTTGTAAGAAGTATTTAGGAAATCATCTGACCCAGCTCTGTGAGAGGATGGGTTGGAACTGTTACACACGTGCAGTCTGTAGGCCGGGGCATAGCAACACAGGAAACATGATGTCCATGTTGTACCAGTGCCACTGCAGGCCCTGAGGTTTGCCACTGAGGATCATAAAATATCCTGAGTTGGAAGAAACCCTGAAGGGTCGTCGAGTCTGACTCCTGCATACATTGATGACTGCTGAGCTCAGGTGTAGTTTACATAATTCTGTGGTGAGCAGAGCCCAAGCAGAGGGCAAGGACAGCAACCAGAGGCTGGAAAGTTCCTACTGCCAGGAAGCACCTGTTTAAGAAAGAAACAGTCTGCTGCAGGACAAGTGGTAGGTTGGAGTCTTCCAACATACCAGGGTTTGTGTCCTGATCTTGCCTGTGTCTTAAACTGTTTTTGTCTGAGTACGCACTGTGGATTTTGCAAATTTTATCTCACATCCTTATCTAATCCTACTCTGGGTAAATTTGCTGGTAACTTCCTTTTGTTATCTTGGTAACTTCCTTTTGTTATATTGCTGATGGGGTGATTACTCTCATTTCCTCCATTTTAAGGAAATGCAGATGTAGCAGTGATGCCATAGAGGGTTAGAACTAAAGGTGAAAGAGTTTCTGCCTTTCTTCAACATGCTTTTTAATTTACATGGATGATCTGGAGATGTGTGAATGTTAGAAAAAATAAAAAACCCCCACCCATACCTGTTGCTGCTGCTGTCCATGAATGACTGTTCTGGCTACACTTGACAGTATCGTGTCGGATATTGCAGGCATGGTGATGCCATAGCTACTTGCAAACTGTTGTCTAC